CCAGTTCCCACCCCTTCTTCCCTTCACGCTCCTACCCACATCCTTCATTCCTGGATCACGTGGAACTCCCTACCTTTCTACTCTGCTGCCATGCGACGTGATTGCAATTTCCACCAAGGTTCTTTTGCCCTCCTGCCGTTTCTGTTCAGGTTTATATGGTCGTGATGTCATTTCTATTGGTTGATTATCTAGGTCGAGCGGAAGCCCTGAACCGCCCCCTTGTTCTTCTCGGGTCACTCATCATTTTGTAAGTAATTGTGTACGTATGATGATGCCGTGGCTTGATTATTTCCCCGTATCACATTATTCTGACAATCAGTCGATTCTTTGTTTTCTCTCATCCTTCCGCTAGGTTTGCCTCTCCCCCTTCCCATTCTTTCCTACCTACCCCCCCTCCCTCCCCCCCCCCCCCCCCCCCCCCCCCCCCCCCCTCCTTTAGTGCGACTATCTGCTGCAATGTCATGGCCCGCTCTCCCCATTGTGTCACCTTCTCTCACTCGGACTTCGCCGTCACATCGTCTCTCGTCCTGTGGGGGTTTCCTGCCGCAAGTCAACAGTGCACGACAAGCCATTCGACATCCTTTGCGTCAAGATTGTGGTCACTGGGAGCAATGGCGTGTTGGGGGTGAGTCGATAGAGCTAGGCAGGGCTTGCTTGCGCCATGGCTTGATGCCCTCCTGCTGCTCAAGTCCTCGGTGCTCGGCAAGCCGCCTGGCATCCTCAGCGTCAAGCTTGTGGTCGCTGGTGTTGTGATATATGAATTTTTGCATTCCTGCAAGTTCCGTTTTTGGTGTAGCTTGCAGTATCCCATTTCTCAGTAAGTAACCATGCACGAGTGCTGATGTCAGCAAAGCATCACGGGTCTCGAGATGACGTCAGCATACCGCTTCAGTTACGCGATTAGGCATAACGAGTCGTTTCAGTCAAGCGAACAGTCGCGACCCTATAGTATGACGAATAGGTCGCATAGCGCGCAACTAGCCGAACAGGTACTTTTCCTAGAGCTATAAATCCTTGTAATGCCTTTTCTATTATTACAACCTTGACTTTCCACAGAATTATGTGCTCAGGTTATTCAACCTTCGACTACCCACAAGTTCATGTGCTTAGGTTCACTCCTATAAGACTACCGCTGTCTTACTAGTCTACCATTCCAATAAAGATCCTAGGCTAACACTTGAGATTTCCAAGTGTTCGTGTTTGCAGATTGTATACTTAGTCTCCTGCAAGTCGAGCACCACCTGTTAAATTATTACATGGTATGAGAGCTGACTGGAATTAAGACTACTGTCAACAATGACTGGAACAACGCCAGCACAGTCTACCGGATCCAGTTCCGGAACTACTGGAGTACCTGTCTCCACGACTGCCACTGGTCTCTCAGCCTCTGGACCGTTTCCACCAGCTTATGCGCATATTGGTATGCAGCAGCAGCAACAAAATCCGCCTTCTGTGAGTACTCCAGGGATTTCATCGACTGCACCTGCAGCGCAACAACAGCAAACACAGGCAACAGCACAACAACAGGCAACAGGACAACAACAGACAACACCACAGTTTTCAACTCAGTCAATATCGTTATCATTTAGTGGAATGAGTCTTGACGGCTCAAGTTACATGCGTGGAGCTTCAACTCCAAGTATTGGCTCGTTTGCATTCTCACCTTTTACGCAACAGCCGCAGTCTCAGCAGCAGCAGCAGCCCTTTTACGTCTTCGGGCGTTCATCTGCTCAACAACAACAACAGCAGCAACAACATCAACATCAGCAACAACTGCAACAGCAGCAACATCCACAGCAATTTCAATAGCAGCAGCAACAGCAACAACCTCAACAACAGGGGATTATTTTTCAACCACCGAATTTACTTAACAGCACACAGATCAAGACCACTATACCTTTTAACGGAGTTGATTTTTACTCCTGGAGCTTCGAGTTTGAACTTCTAGCGCAGTCTGCCGGGCTATGGCCGTTCTTCACCGGCGAGTTTACATATCCTGTTATGGGAACACAACTGGAGGAACAAAGTTTCTTGTACGCCTCTCTCGGGGCGTATACAGTTCTTGTTCGAAACTTATCGGCAAAGGAGCAGCTCGGCGTTCGATCCTTTCATTCCAGCTTCACGCTAGCTGAAACTGCATGGAACCACTTAAAAGGGGTATACATGGCGAAGGATACAATCACAGTCAGTAAGATTCTTTCGCAGCTGACAAATGTGCAGATGATGACAAATGAGTATGTCATGGATTATGTCAATCGTGTACACACACTACGAGATCAATTGGAGAAGAGTGGTGGATACTTCCCTCGTGAGATGTATCTCACGGTCCTTCTTGCTGGACTTGGTCCCGAGTGGCGACAGACGCGCGCCTTCTTGCGCATGAACCCGAATCTCTCCGAAGTCGAGATTTCCTCGTATCTTCAAGCAGAACAACAAGATCTTGACCTACAGCCACAACGCAACAAAAAGGGGGATATACAACTCTGTTTCTATTCAACAACAACTCGACGTCCTCGATACTTCTGTCAGATTTGCTACAAGGGAGGACATTCTACCGACCTGTGCTACTTTAACAAGAGGTATTTACCTCCTGAAGAATCGCAGAGGTCGCAATCATTACAGCAACTACGACAGCCTTCGAAGTAGTCTTTGCAGCAGTCTGTGCCTCCAAAAGCAACATCTGCAACATCAACAACACCAACGTCACTCAACTGTGTTCCTCCAATCAAGTTATCGAAGCCGGCAGCAAATAATTCAAACTCTGCCAACAATACGGTAACCTCAAAAAATTTCTTACCTACTGCAAACACTCACATGGCTGATTGCAGTTCAGATACCGATACTTGGTACTTGGATAGTTGTTGTGGCCATCACATGGTCTCTTCAACAAATCCTTTCATCTATAACCGTCGTCGACTTCTTCAACCCTGCCCAATCACACTCGCCAACGGTCAAACAATTGCAGCATAAAATATCGGCAGTCTACTTTTGACATCAATCGATACGGGAACCTCTTTACCAAGGTTTTACTCGTCGACAACCTCGGTTTCAATTTAGTGTCAACTAACCAACTCTTGAAGAAGAAAATCCGCACGGTCGGAAACTGCACGATACAAGAGCAAGAGTTATTATATGATGTGGACAGCACATACATCGGAAGAGCAGTAACCAAGAATGTCGTATTTGTCTTACGATTCGAAGCAACAAAATCTTCCGAAGATGTCACTCTCCCTCAAGCTCCTCCAATCATCGCAGCAATAGCTTTGGTAACCGCTGCACCAATGGACTTCAGTAGCATCAAAGAAGAAAATCAGAGTAGCAACACCACCAACATCCTTGCCGACACACGTGCCGTTAATATCAAGGAAAATATTATTCAAGATGACGAGGAAACTCTGCAACTCGCACCTGAATTATTCTTCGACGCTACAACTACTCTCGACAAGCCTTCTGACAATTCTTCAACTACCAGTCTCCCAGAGAAAGGCTACTCATTCTCAAGGCTTTTACTTCTTTCATATTTCACCATCTTGATTCTTGTGTGGCTGACTATAGCAGCTAGCGAGCTCAGTACCACGCTGCAAACTTTCCTATACTACAGAGCAGCCGATTATCACCCTACGAGCTCCAACGTTTACGAGGGAGGCATGGGCATCAATCGTCATCAAACCCTTCATCATAGCGTTCAACAATGCAACGAAGCAGAACGGTTGAGCAGTGCCCTACACGAGCTACGTGAGCAGCTGCATCCACTGCTGACTCAACAAATTTCTCTGCCCGAAACTGCACCATCAGATCTGCCCGTCACTTCACGGTCCTTTGGCAAGCCTCCAAACGATGTCGAGGCTCCTCTCCACCACGTGCAACACTCTCGTGGTTTTGCATTCATCCCCTTCAACCTTGCCACGTTCATTGGCGCAACCCCAACCACTTTCAACCCGACTCATTTTTACTCTGCCGAAGTGAGGGGGGAAAGGAGGATCTACACGCACTTCGTCAAAGCCAAAATTCGTCATCAACAAGGGAAGAACGCGATAGGTCTACCATTAGACCAATGGAATGACCGCCGACTGTTTACAGCACATTAAGTTGACACATCACAAGATTCAAAACTGCAGACCTCATTCGCGGAACTCCAACCACGACGTGACTACATCGAACTTCCAGGAATGAAGGGGAGTGTTGTGATATATGAAGTTTTGCATTCATGCAAGTTCCGTTTTTGGTGTAGCTTGCAGTATCGCGTTTCTCAGTAACTAACCATGCCCGAGTGCTGATGTCAGCAAAGCATCACGGGTCTTGGGATGACGTGCATACCGCTTCAGTTACGCGATTAGGCGTAACGAGTCGTTTCAGTCACGCGAACAGTCGCGGCCCTATAGTATGACGAATAGGTCGCATAGCGCGCAACTAGCCGAACAGGTACTTTTCCTAGAGCTATAAATCCTTGTAATGCCTTTTCTATTATTAAAACCTTGACTTTCCACAGAATTATGTGCCGAGGCTATTCAACCTTTGACTACCCACAAGTTCATGTGCTCAGGGTCACTCTTATAAGACTTCCGCTATCTTACTAGTCTACCATTCCAGAATTACGATCCTTACAAGTATTATCGAGTAGTAGAGATACTACTATACCCAAGGCTTGACTCAAGCAGATTCTATACTTAGTCTCCTGCAAGTCGAGCACCACCTGTCAAATTATTACAGCTGGGACCAACGGCGTCTTGGGGGTGAGTTGATGCACTCAGGTGCGCTTGGGCAATGCTTTGATGCTCTCCTGCTGAAATGTCTGTAGCATGCATTTATGTGGGGAGCTGATGATGCAGCCATGTGGTGGTGGTTGAGGCATGTGGTGGTGGCTATCTACCCTTTCAGCGGTCGCTGTTGTGTTGGCTATCCTGGCCCTGTTCATTTCTTTCCATGTTCAACTCATCCCCTGGCTGACTGCAGGGTTCCTTTGCCGGTTTTTTTACGGCATGTGAGGCCTCGGAGGGCGTTCGCTCACACCGCTTTGGCATGAACCTGAGTGTGAGCGAGAAGCAGTACCTCATGCAGCAGATTGGGGAGTTCCTTGGCTGCCCCTACTCCACTCAGGTCCAGCTGGCGTAAAATGCAGCAGCACGTATCTTAGCTGTAGCACTTGTTGACAGTGCAGCAGCACTTGCTAGTGTAGATGAAGCGGTGTTGGGTGTATTTACTGTTCATTCCATCTGGCTTGATTCCAGTGCGAGGGCATGCCACTTTTTAGTAGTATTGAAGCAACGAGATGATCGGTGTGCAGAAGGCCAAGGTATGCAGTTGACGCGTAGCAGCAAAAACTTGTACCTGTATGGCTCGTGACCAGATAATACGTTAACGTTTTACTTTGTGGTGTGTGACCTATGACATTAACGTTTTAGGCATGTTCCTACACTTCTCTTCAGACGCTTAGACGCACTAGATACTGTACGTTGGAGTCCTTAAGCCCGCGACCCAAATTGCGAGGCGCGGCCTTCAAACGCACTGCGTTTGAAAGTAGCGCTTTCGTGGGTGTAGAGTGGGGTAACGTGAGTCTCGCCACTCTGGGGGTGCCTTTCAAGTTCACTGCCTGCTGCAATTTGGAACTCCATGTGTAGCACGTTTATTTACCGTCCATTTTTCACAGATCTGCATCTGACAGTCCGCACGCAAACTCTTCTTTCCAAAGCACCACCAGTAATTCAGGGATCAATCTCAACCGTCCAAAATATTAGGGTCGAATCTGACGGTGCACGAACACTCTGCAGCTCACGAGGAAAAACACCCTCGCGATTTTCCCGTGCGTTTCGTAAAACAGCACGCCCAGAGTTCTTACACAGTGCGTTTGAACAATTTGGGCCGCGGGTTTTAAGCAACGAGTGTCTCATAAGAGGACCTACCAAACTGAAGGCCCATCATGGAGCTCACAGTGGGGGTTAGCATGCGTGGGATTGGTTCACAGGGAATGCCGAGCGTCAGGCCTTGATGGTCGGGCAGGCAGTGGTTGCCGTGCCTCGAACGTCAAGGGCAGCTGCCGTGATGGTGCGATGGGGCAGCTCCAATGTCGAGCCGAGCCGACCTCAAGAGCAAGTGGTCGCCTCGACTTTGCCCTCCCATTGGCGAAAGATCAAACCAAACCTTTGCCTAAGTTCAACGAGTTTCGGCGAATTTCTCGGAGCTCTTTCATTCCCCCAAGCCTCCCCGGTTTCCCAAGCCTCCCGGTCTAGTCCCTTCAAAACTTTCACTCTGGTTCCCTTTCTCAGCTCCGTCTATTTTGCCCGCTTCGTTTCGTCATTTCCCGTCAGTTTACCTCCTTAGAAAGCACATCCGTCGCCGTCAGTTACCCTCCGTCAAAGCACTACAGATATCTCCCACTCTAGCCCTGTCAGTCACATCACATCTCCATCCCTACCCATACCTTCCTAGTCTAGAGACTCCTTGCATTTTCAGCCTTTCGGCCTGTCCCTTCGTGTTCGTCGTTCACAGCCATGGACTCTGCTAAAGTGGTGAGTCAATCAATATGAGGCAGCTGCTCCCAGGCGATTGCAGTTGCTCCCGGACGATCGCAACTTCTGGACCTTCCCTCAGCAACTTCTTCTTACACCTCCTTTCTTGTTAGCTACTGCCTATCGTACACCACTCCTGTTCCACCTAGCAGTGTGTCTCCTACTTAGTTCGCCTTATTCTTCTACTCACAGGCTCCCTTGTCCACCTCACCGCGTGTCACCTATTTAATTCCCCTTATTGTTCTTCTCGCTCCTCTGCTCAAAGGCTCTTCTGTCTACGAAGGACGGCGATTCCACCGTCAACGGCATGGAGGCTGGCATTCGCCGGCTCGGCTTTCCTACGGGGTCCCTTCTGGTGCGTCTGCAAGGCCGCCAGTGAATGATCTTGCCGTGTTACGGTGCATTCGATCTGTCCGCTGTCTTCGTTTTGCTTGCTGTAAAGCATCGCTATTATCTTCGTTTTTTTCTGCCTCTGAATCCTTCTGGTGCCTTTTCGGTGCAACAGAGCGTGAACCGCAAGGGCGACGACCTGCTGGAGATTAACCTTCCGCGGAATGGCTTCTCCTCTCGCGCTCTCTTCCTCTACGTCTTCTTCCTGGTAGCGCCATCATTTCCTGGCGACTTTCATTTGCTGGATTAGGGCGTCATGCCGAACGCGAGTCTATTTCTTTGCAGTGTTCCGGATTCTCCTGCTGCACTTCCACCTTACTCGGAACTCCTTCCACCTGCCCGCTTTGCGTTTTCAGATCTACGTGGCAATCTTCGCCGTTTTCTTTGTCGACCTTGATGCGCTCACTCCTTCCACGGCGGATTTTTGCTCCACGTGTCCTCTTATCGGCCTCGGGTCTCTGGTCATCCTGTAAGTACATGCGCATTACCTTGGTGCGCAATGGACTTTTTCCATTTTGTTCGTTTCATGTGTCTTGCCTCGGTTCTTTCTGGTGCAATTGGATCCCTCTCTCACCCTCATCCTTTCCACAAATTCCGGCTTCCATTTCTTCCTTTCGGCCTTGCTTTGTCGTCCTATTTTTAAGAGAATTCTTCCATGAGCCCTCTCATCTCATCGACCCCTCCTTTCCAGTGTCTCCATCTTCATTGTCGTCAAGGCCCTGTCTCGCCGCCACGTCACCTTCACGCCCTCCGAGTTCACCATGACGTCGTCCTTCCTCGGCCGCAAGTGCGGCTGCCGCAAGTCCTCGGTGGTCGGCAAGCCTTCTGACATCCTCAACGTCAAGATTGTGGTTTCGGGGGTGAGTGTATGTGTATGTGAGTTTTTAGTCCGCTTAAGCCTCACTGGTCGGCAAGCCTTCAGACATCCTCAATGTCAAGATTGTGGTCTAGGGGGTAAGTGCGTGGAACCGTTTTTGTTTTGTTGAATGTTATCTTCGAGTTGGCTTCTAAGCTATTCAATTGGTTTTCCCTCTTTTTCCCCTCCTTCGTTGATGTGTTTGGTGCTGGCTGGTGTTATGTTCAGGCAGTTGTTCTGATTTGTTTTCCCCTTAATAATAGTTCCCCTTCCCATCTTTGTTTATCTCCAACGTTCGCCTTGCTCGCACTTCAGGGCCAATTTGCGGGCTTCATGACGGCCTGTGAGATCTCAGAGGGCGTTCGCTCGCACCGCTTTGGCATGAACCTGAGTGTGAGCGAGAAGCAGTACCTCGTGCAGCAGATTGGGGAGTTTGTTGGGTGCCCCTACTCCACTCAGGTCCAGCTGGCGTAAATACAGCACTTGCGGGTGTGTGTATATACGGACTGGTATAATTGCAGTCCTGGCTGCCCTGCTTGATGCCGGCAGTGTCAATATGGCTATGGCCAAGTGTGTATATGACATGCTGGGGGGATGTAGCAGGGGGAAGGCCTGTGTGGCTTTTCCCCTTGTGTAAAACCAGTGATACTGTATTGATTTCTCTTCCCCTGGTGGTGCAAAAGGCTGGAACGTGCGGTTACCCATGCCAGAAACCTCAATACTCGACGAAGGGTCACAAACTAAAGCCTGGAGCAGGATTCGGGAAGCCTGGAGCAATGCCTGTGCAGCTGATGAGCACAGAACTATCTGTGCTGCTGATATTTGTGCGGTACCGGTAACAGAGCTTGGTCGAGACGGCCAGCAGCGCACCACATGTAGCAGATCACTTCCAATGAGTCAGCCTTCATTTAGACTCAACTGGTGACAAGGTGACAGGAGAGTGGCCTGGATTGGCCAACACATCATCAAGATCATTCGAATCCCCATCCAGCTTTGCCCTAAGAAACGCCACCACAAGTCCAGCAGTTGCTGCACGTGCCTTGGCTTTCTTCGGGCCACCAGGGCACACATTAACCGGTATTCTCAAGTCATTGTTGAAGTCTGCATGCCCATACTTAGGCAGCACAACGTGATACGCCGAGGCTGCAAGATCCGAATAGTAGAACTTGTGGCCAAAATAAGCCGGTGCACATGGCATCCCACCTTCTTGGCTTGGAATGGGACCCAGCCCTGCTCCTATAACGAGTACAGGAGCGCTCAGAGTGATGGAGCCTGGACTGTGGGTCAGTGTAGCTGGAACGCTTTTCCCTTGATAGGCGCCATCTACAGGGTCGACCAGAATTACTGCACCGATTGTAACCGGGGATTTCTTGACCAATCCCCTTGCGACTCCGAACGCGACTTTACCGCCTCGACTGTGTCCCGAAATAGCAAACTTTTCCCAATCCGGAACAGCTTTCACTTTGAGACGGTTCTTGAGGACCGAGGCTAGGCGTTTGCGCAGCCAGCCTATGACGTTAGCTGCACTGCGCATCTCTGGCGCTGTATTGTAGCCTGCTGTCACAGGGTACATCTGGGCAAGGGCAACGGTGGGGAGTGAGTAAAAAAGTCGGAAATGGGGGTATGAGTGGGGAATGAGGCCATGAGACAATGGCATGAAGCGGACAATGAAACCATGCATGCTGTGCATGAGTACGTACTTGTGGCGCCACCACAATGAAACCATGCGTGCTGTGCATGAGTACGTACTTGTGGCGCCACCACAATGAAGCCATGCTTCGCAATGCGCGTCAGCAGCTGGGAGTACATGGTGTTCTGAGAGGAAAAGCCATGTTGGAAAACCAGCACTGGCAGGGCAGTGGCTGTGGCGGGCTTAGGCGACCAGATGCGGAGAGGCTTGGGGGGGTTGCTCTGTGATGGGGTGGTGGGGACGAGGTGGGGAAAGGGAGGGGGAGGGATGGGACAAACGGCTTGGGAGGGGGAGGGTGGGTAATGAGGGGATTGAGGAAGAGGCCGGCATAGGTGATGAGATTCGAAAGGGCTTGGGTTGGTTGATCTATGAATGGGTTGGTAAATCTGTGAATGGGTTGGTGGGGGCGAAGTGGGGGAAGGGATGGGAAAGAAGGGCTTGAGAAGAGGTGGAGAGGGGATCACGCAGACTGGCTTATGCAATGAGTGGGCTGTAACTGTTGAGCCGGCTGGAAAATGATCAGTTGGCATAAAAACTCTTTGAAGGAGGTGAAAATAATATTCACAAAACCAATGATAATGAACTGATTTGCCGTGATTGGCCTGTGGTAAATTACGGACCGGACGTTCACTGTACCTTGATAAGGAATCGTCCCCGTTTCAGAGTGATAGTAGTTTCGTTGTAAGAACGAAACGAAACGAAAATAATATCACAAGATACGGACGGGGAGAAAGCGGACGTTCACTGTACCTTGAAAAGGAATTGTCGGCCTTTCAGAAGGAAGGCTCCGCGTTTCACGGTGTAGCGTCCGCGGCTGAACACTTTTCCAGGCGTTACATCCGCGGTAGAAACGCTCGTGACAACTGAGCTGGCATTCGATACATCTGAACTGGCAGACGTTACAGCTGAGCTGGCAGACGTTACATCTGAGCTGGGATCTGTGGCATATGTACCGACCGCCTCGCATGAAACACGGACAATCGAGGAGAGGAAGCAGAGGACGGCTAATGACGTGGCCAAAGCAGTTAGGACGCCACGTGGAAACCTACGATTCGCCGTTGGAGGCGACCGAGAATGTGAGCCGATCATCTCTCCCGAAATGTGGTTGGAGTCCAAACACGCCTAGTACGAGCGTCGTACGAGCGTCGTTCGAGCGTCGTCCGAGGGTCGTTCGAGCCGAGAAACCGAGGTGAAATTGAGCAGTGGGCGCTACGCTGTTGATGACCTAGGCGACTCTTAAGTCGACTCAGAAGGGCTGCGTTATGGTCAACCACTGAAGGCGCACTAGGCTTGTCCTGGACTGGCTAATGTACCGCGCCCTAAAGCTGCTTCTGAGCGCTGCCTGTGTCAAGTCAGAGAGAACCACCGACCGAAAGGAAAAGCCTCGGCTAACTAGCAAATTAGGCTAAGGGACGCTAAGTGGCTGGGAGATTAGCGCCGAACTTAGTGCAGTAGCAAGTACGGAAGAGTGTTGTTTGAACACAGCACTGCCACGTGGACGGCCTACCTTTCCGTACTGACCGCCGCACGCACAGATGGTTCGGTGAGCGCTTCGGCGCGGTGGCAGTGCACCTAGATTTTGACCCATGAAATTGATAACCTCGAATTTGCTGAAAACCGAATCACTGATGACTTCGCGAAAGCCGTTGGAGTGGGGTTTTCTCGGTTCGCCTCGCCATGGCGAAAGCTCAGTTTCGCAAAACACGTTCAAATGCACCGCGCCTAGAAACATAGCAACAATGTTCGTACGCGCTACAAGTTGGTTGGGTCGTTGCGAGCTCCACCAGAGGAAGGTTCAGTGAGTCGCTATAATATAATGGAGGAACAAAACATGTGTACAAATAGAGGGCTACTTCGATAGAAGCGGATCAAGTTTCCCAGGGGAACGGCTAGGGACTGCAAGAATATCCTCCAGGTTTGCAGAGTCACTCAAAAACTTAGCTTGCAAGAAAGCCACCATGATACCAGCAGTGGCCATTTGCATAGGCCTCCTTGCCCGAGCACCGGGACAAATACCATTCCATGCGTGTGTAATGATTCGATTTTTGAGTCGACTAAAAAATCGACTCATTACACACGGATTATACACTCAGATAATTTTTGTCGCATGGAAGGCTGGGCGTAACTTACAAAAGTTACTTGCTCGCGCGAGGCTCCCTGAGCACCAGCTGGCAAGATGTGGGTTACCCATGGCACGTCCCGAGGAATGAAGACCTGGCACCTTGGAACTTTCCAGGGTGTTTTGGATTGGCTGACCAGATTTCAGTCGCGGTTGTTCCTTTTGTGATAATTGAAGTTTTGCATTCCTGCAAGTTCCGTTTTTGGTGTGGTTAGCAGTGTCGAGTTTCTCGGTAAGGAAACAGGTCCGAGTGATGATGTCAGCAAAGCATCGCACATCTCGGGATGACGTCATCATACCGCTTCAGTTACGCGATTAGGCTTCAGTCCCTGGCTTCAGTTTCGCAAATTTGATTCGGCGAGGGAAATCAGGCATGGGGAACATCGATCGAGGCTTCGTGGGTTCGCCGAACCAAATTTGCGAAACGTGACATCCGCATGCGAAAACGTCGCGTCGGTTCGGTTTCCCCAAACCAATTGCCCCCAAATCGCGTGCTCCTTCTCATGCCAAACCCGAAGCGCGGCCATCAGCCGCCCAGAGCTGCCAGGCAAACTCCGTGCCACACCTCATACTGCAAAATCGTGGTATGAGGCAGGCCAAGATTGGCATGCCTCTTGGTTGGGCAGGTTTACGAAACCCAAAAAAAAACTGCAGCCACTTCCCCTTCAATCCTACCCGTCGATTTGCGCAATTGCGCCAGCTCATACCCATCCAATCGGTCACATTTTGAAATGTTAAAAAAATTGGCAGTTTTGACAAAATTGTGTGAATCGCATTTTCTCCCCTAGATTTTCCACGAAAGTGCGATGGGCTAAGAGGGCTTTTGATGGGCCCCACTCTTCACTGTCCGCGAGTTTGTCTTATCCAGACCTGCAGTCTTGACCGACGTAATCATGAGCCGGCGACGTTATGATTACCAAAGTACGGGGGCACACAAAAAAAATTTACGTAGGTTTGGCTGCGCAGATTCCGTGCGCGCGGGATTTGGTCGCCCGTTCCCCTCCCCGTTCCCCTCGGAAAATTGCCAGCGAACGGCCCCCTGGCCAACAGTCTCTCTCATTCAATTCTGCCAAGCTTTTTCCCCGACCAGATGTCAACGGGTGCGGTGGATCAGCATGTCATCTAATGCGACCCCGCCATGGCGGGGAGCTGACCTCTCTCGTTGATAACTTTGTTCTCTGCCGACGCGAGTTTGAGTAACGATCTTATACTTTTCCCACGTCGATCAGGCACGACCCAGCAGTACTAGGACTGGTAATAGCCGCAAGGACCCGCTAGGAATCACCAGCTTGGCACGGTCTCTAGTACTAGGCAGCAATATGGCTGCTCGATTGGCATTGCTCGTCTCCTCCCGCCGCAGCCTGCCGACTCTCCAACCCCTCCCACCGCCACGCGCGCTTTCCCGCATCGCTTCGCTGCTAGTAACTTCCCTCCTGGCCGTCTCCTTTCTATCCTTCGCGTCCAACGCATCGCCTCTACGCGACGCATCGCCTCTCCCCGACGCGTCGCCTTTCCCCGACGCGTCGCCTCTCCCCGACGTGCCTTATGATCAGCAGCAACCCATTCCTGAACCTCTCGCCTCGCTCCAATCATGGCAGTCCCTTCAGAATGTCTCGTCGCCTTCGTCGGCGGTCCCTCCGGCCTCGAGGCTCATAGGAGCGGCCGGCACGGCGCACCTGCCCGCCGCGACGCTCCTTGGAGCGGACGGCACGGCGGTCCTGCCGGCCTCGAAGCTTATAGGAGCGGACGGCACGCCAGGGAAGGTGTTTAGCTGGGGGTCTTACAAGGTGGTGCAGAGATCGTCGATTGGCGGACCGATGTTTGTATTTAAGGTATTCGGACATGCATCACCTCATATCACCGCATATCATTGCCTGTCACCGCATATCACGGCCCATCATGGCGACTTGAAGGTTAGTTCCACTGTCTATGTCTCTCCCCTCACCACCTCCTCACTCATTGCCCCCCTCCCCTCAATTCCTCACCAATCCCTTTTCCTGTCTCTTCCCCACTCCTCCTCTTTCCCCCCCCCCACCCCCACACCCCCCTCCCCTTTCGCCCCTTTTCTCGGCCCCCCATCCGCACCCCCTTCCCTCCTTCCCCCTCCCCCGGCTCCAGGTGCTACCCCCCCGCCCTCTCCTCCTATGGGCGCCTGCCACGTCATCACCTCAGTCCTTCCCAGTGGTTCTGTTTCAGCACGGGTGGGCGACTCACAACTACTGGTTTGGAGATATGCTCAAGAGAGTGGTCTCCCACGGTTACATTGTAGTGGCGCCTCAGGTAATACCTCCCTTGCAGATAACACCTACCTGGCGGATAACACCTTCCTAACAGGTTATACCTCCCTGAGGTCAAAGCCAGATGTTGACTCGCAGCTAGCTCGCTGACATGCTCCAAGGGTGTTGCCCCATGGCTTCTCAGGTACTACCTGTCTGGCAGATGACACCTGTACGCAGGTAACACCTCACTCGGACATGCACTCTGGTGGGTGACTCGAGATTACTGGCTCCCAGGTTTGCTCAAAAGGGTTGTGTCCCATGGCTACATTTTCGTGGCTCCCTCTTTCCAGCATTACAGGTACTGTAAAGTAGATGGAAGGCTGTGTTCAGACATATACTAGAGGTGTAGCTCTTTCGTTTTGAGACGTCTCAAATGCAGCGTTACAGGTACAGTAAGGTAGATGGACGGCTGTGTTCAGACGTATACTTGAGTTACACCCTTTCTCTTTTTGCAGTTACAACATTCCGGTTCTCCCCTGCACCGCTTACTCTCTGTCTCTCCCTGCTCCCCTGCACCGCTTACTCTCTGTCTCTCCCTGCTCCCCTGCACCGCTTACTCTCTGTCTCTCCCTGCTCCTCTGCACCACTTACTCTCTGTCTCTCCCTGCTTCCCTGCACGCCCCATTCACACCGTCCAGATGGTACCCCCTCTCATCGGCCTCACAGGCGCCATCTACTGAAGAGTCTATTTTTGAGGCGCCTAAAAAATAGACTCCCTGCTCCCCTGCACGCCCCATTCACACCATCCAGATGTACCCCCTCTCATCGGCCTCACAGGCGCCATCTACTGAAGAGTCTATTTTTGAGGCGCCTAAAAAATAGACTCCCTGCTCCCCTGCACGCCCCATTCACACCATCCAGATGTACCCCCTCTCATCGGCCTCACAGGCGCCATCTACTGAAGAGTCTATTTTTGAGGCGCCTAAAAAATAGACTCCCTGCTCCCCTGCACGCCCCATTCACACCATCCAGATGTACCCCCTCTCATCGGCCTCACAGGCGCCATCTACTGAATGAAAGGTTCTTGCGCAGTCATTCGCTGGTTGAAAAACAACCGCCCTTTCTTCCAACTAACACATTCCCTATCCTTTCTTGCCCGCACATCCCCACCCTCCAGGTGTACCCTCTCATCGGCCTCACAGGAGCCATAAACGAGATGAAAGGCTCCTGCGCAGTCATTCGCTGGTTGAAAGGCAACCTCAAAGGCTGGCTCGCCCATGTTCTCACATCTTCCTCTCCCGCGCTCACATCCCTACCCTCCAGATGTACCCTCTCATCGGCCTCACAGGCGCCATCTACGAGATGAAGGGCTCATGCGCAGTCATTCGCTGGCTGAAAGACAACCTCAAAGACTGGCTTGCCCGCCATCCAATCCTGCATCGCCGAACCAAGGCCTCCCCTGATTGGTCCAAATTCGCCCTGACCGGCCACAGCCGCGGTGGGAAAGTCGCCTTTGGGGTTCTCCGGGAGCTATTTTGCAAATCGGCGGTGGCGATTAAAGCGCAATTTCTCCTCGACCCTGTAAATGGTGGTGGGGAAAGAAGCTCCTTTAAATCCGGAGATTCCGTGCTTACGTATGTTCCCAACTCGATCCAAGTCTCGGCTCCTGTGGCAGTGTTAGGAACGGGATTAGGAGGTTCCTGCGCTCCTGAAGGCGACAATTACAAGGAGTTTTACTCGGATATGGTAGGCCCGGTGTGGAAATTTGTCGTGCCCGGCTACGGGCACGCAGATTTTTTCAATAATTGGATCGGCCCGGGGATTACGTTTATCTCCAAGCATTTTTGCAAGAATGGGCCGGCGAGAAAGCCTATGCGGGTGGTGACTGGTGGGCTAATGGTGGCGTTCCTCCAGGCTAAGCTTCTAGGAGACTCTGCTGATTTAGACGATTTAATGGCGAATCCAGGCCACTCCCCTGTTCCAATTAGCCAGCCTGTAACCAAACCGTGATGAAGTAAATGCTTTGATGCCTATTTTGTGCAAATATGCAATATCCTCTATAGAACAACTTAGGTCTCGTGCAGAATAAACTAGACATCGATACCAGCTGTAGCGAACCTGGGATCACCAGCCTAGGAAATGCCGCTGTGGGAGCAGCTTCTCAGGGAAATTTTCAGTTCGTTTTTTTTTTTTTCCGGTCAGGGAGATTTTGAGTAGTATTTAATGAACTAGGAGCCATTCCGGTCGCATTCTAGGGTAAACTGGTTCCCTTCAGCGGTAGCCAATGCTTGGCAGTGACCAAGCAATGTCAGCTCGGGTTGGTCGAATCGTAGTCCTTTTCCTCCTCGCCTTAGTCGCTCGAGACTCGAGGGGTGATCGGCTTTCGCTTATCCAACAAACTCCTAACCGTAATCTCATTGGTCAAGACCGCACCCCTGGAAAGGTGTTCTCGCGCGGTCCGTATCGCGTGCTTGAACGGGGGATCGCTACGAAACGTCCTTTCAGCAACTCAAAGGTAGGGACGTTCTAAGGCCGCTACTGCCGTTCTTTTCCCGTGGTCCCTCTCGCGTACCAGAGAGTGGGATCGCCTCGAAGCGTCCATCCAGTACCTCGACGATAGGGGTGCGCTGAGGCGGCTAGTGCTGGAGTTCTGCACACACGCGCGTTCCTAGTCTTTACCTCGTCTTTCCCCTCGCTCTCTCTCGGAGTGTGCACTGAGTCCGCCTCTCCCGCCCGCCTCTCGTTTGCGTCGTCTCAAATGTCTTTCCCCTCGCTCTCTCTCGGTGTCTGCACTGACTTCGCCTCTCCCGCCGCTCTCAATCTCCTCTCTCTCTCCTCTCTCCCCCCTTCGCCCGCACTTCCTCTCCCCAGAGCGCTCCTCCAAAACCCTTGCGCCTGTGGGTGCCGGTCTCCTCCGCCCCGCTCTCCTCTCTCCTCTCTCACTGCATTTACTCCCCCTGCCCCCCCCCGTCCCCCTGCCCCCCCTTTTTCCCCCCACCCGCTTACCCCTCCCGCTCTTCCTCTCCCCAGAGCGCCCCCCCAAAGCCCTTGCGCCTGTGGGTGCCGGTCTCCTCCGCCCCGCTCTCCTCTCTCCTCTCTCACTGCATTTACTCCCCCTGCCCCCCCTTTTCCCCCCCACCCGCTTACCCCTCCCGCTCTTCCTCTCCCCAGAGCGCCCCCCTAAAGCCCTTGCGCCTGTGAATGCCGGTCTCCTCCGCCCCGCTCTCCTCTCTCCTCTCTCACTGCATTTACTCCCCCTGCCCCCCCCGTCCCCCTGCCCCCCCTTTTTCCCCCCACCCGCTTACCCCTCTCGCTCTTCCTCTCCCCAGAGCGCCCTCCCAAAGCCCTTGCGCCTGTGGGTGCCGGTCTCCTCCGCCCCGCTCTCCTCTCTCCTCTCTCACGGCATTTACTCCCCCTGCCCCCCCTTTTCCCCCCCACCCGCTTACCCCTCCCGCTCTTCCTCTCCCCAGAGCGCCCCCTTAAAGCCCTTGCGCCTGTGAATGCCGGTCTCCTCCGCCCCGCTCTCCTCTCTCCTCTCTCACTGCATTTACTCCCCCTGCCCCCCCCGTCCCCCTGCCCCCCCTTTTTCCCCCCACCCGCTTACCCCTCCCGCTCTTCCTCTCCCCAGAGCGCCCTCCCAAAGCCCTTGCGCCTGTGGGTGCCGGTCTCCTCCGCCCCGCTCTCCTCTCTCCTCTCTCCTCTCTCACTGCATTTACTCCCCCTGCCCCCCCTTTTCCCCCCCACCCGCTTACCCCTCCCGCTCTTCCTCTCCCCAGAGCGCCCCCTTAAAGCCCTTGCGCCTGTGAATGCCGGTCTCCTCCGCCCCGCTCTCCTCTCTCCTCTCTCACTGCATTTACTCCCCCTGCCCCCCCTTTTTCCCCCACCCGCTTACCCCTCCCGCTCTTCCTCTCCCCAGAGCGCCCTCCCAAAGCCCTTGCGCCTGTGGGTGCCGGTCTCCTCCGCCCCGCTCTCTTCGCCCGTGCTGCTCTTCCAACACGGCTTTGCTGCCAAAACGCACTTCTACTCGCAGCTGCTGTCGCGCATAGCGTCGCACGGCTTCATTGTGGTGGCTCCCCAGGTTCGTGTGCGTGGGTGTGTCTGTGGGTAAGGGCTTGTGGGTAAGAGTGCATTCGCTGCAATGTGTTGCTTGCAGCCAAGACACACTTCTACTCGCAGCTGCTGTCGCGCATTGCGTCGCACAGCTTCATTGTGGTGGCTCCCCAGGTATTACTTGTCCCTTTTTTTTAGGCGCCTCAGAAAAAGGCTACCCATGTATTATTACTTGTCCCTAACAAATTTCCCTTTCATTGTTGGGGTAAATCCCTTTCTCTTTCACAGTTCCTCTCGCGAGTATAATTGCAGCGTTCCATTGCTCTGCCTTCCATATTTTTTGCACAGTTGGTTGGGATCACAGCGTCTCTCCATTCCAAGTCTATTTTGAGTCGACTCAAAATACATTTGCACAGTTGGGATCACAGTGTCTCTCCATCCCAAGTCTATTCCCAAGCACTCCTCCCTCTCCTGGTGTAATGAGTCGATTTTTGAGTCGACTCAAAAATCCCTCTCCTGGTCCTTCCCTCCGCCTGTTCGCCCTGATTTTGAGCCCCCGTTTTTTTTTCTTTCTTTCTTTCTTTTTTTCCTCTTTTTTTTTTTTTTTTCATTGTGCACAGTTAATTGGGATCACAGTGTCTCCCCATCCCAAGTCTATTCCCAAGCAGTCCTCCCTTCGCACTGGTCCTTTTCTCTGCCTGTTCGCCCTGTGCTCCAGATGTACCCCTTTATAGGCCGATCCAACACAAGGCCCGAGATGAGAGGCAGCGTACGAGTGATCACATGGATGAGGAAGAACCTTGCCACGTGGCTGCAGCAGAAGAAGCAGAGGCGACCAGTGTCCCAGTCAAAGCAACAACTTCAACCGATCTCCTTCTCACCCCCCTCCTCGTCCTCCTCTCCTCCCCCCTTTAATGTTCCATCCCCCTCCACCTCCTCCCCCAAGAATGCCTCCCCCACTGCCACCTACCCTTTCCGAAACACGTCACCTGATTGGTCCAAATTCGTCATATCAGGTCACAGTGTGGGTGGCAAAGTGGCATTCGGTGTAGCACGTAACATCGTCTCCCCCTCCTCCCCAGTCCCCATCTCAGCCCTCCTCCTTTTTGACCCTTCAGATGGCACCTCAAATACCTCCAAAAACGTGCCGCCCGTTCTCGTACACCGGCCCAACTCCCTTGTCCTTTCTGTCCCAGCCCTAATCGTAGGCTCGGGCCTCGGTCCGATCCCAAAAGCGCCCGGGCTGCCTGCCTGCCCGCCCAAATATTTTGGGCATAAAACATTTTTTTCTGACCTCGTGGGGCCTGCATATTATTTTGTAGTGCCCGAGTATGGACACTTGGATTTTTACGACAAGCGCATCGGGATTTGGGGTGCTTTAGGTGAGGTGGCGTGCAGAAGAGGGCCGGCAAAACGGCCTATGCATGTTGCTGCATCGGGCATTGGTGTTGCATTCCTCAAAGCTACAGTGCAGGGGGACTCTGCAAATTTGGATGATATATTGAGTAATCCTATACATTCACCTGTGTGGCTAGCTGCTCCCCAATCCAAAGGGGTTTGATGCATAAGTGGAAACACTTTCTGTACAGACTGTATATATATGTATTTGTTTGAAAATCAGCCAAGAACAGAAGCAGCAGCTGTAGCAGCAGCTGTAGCAGCAGCTGTAGCAGTTGCAGCCCCACAGAACGTGGCAGGTACTCCATCAGGTGTTTCCTGCCGCCGCCCCACCTTCCACCCCACATCTGACAGCAGCACAGGAGAATGCCCAGGATGCTGCAACAGATCACCGAGGTCCCTGGAGTCGATCCCACTCCTAGAACCAATCACGTCCACATTCCCATTGGAGCGCAGTTGACCTTCCCTGCCCCCCGAACCAGAGTCAGCCCCTCCACACGCCCCTCCACACACCCCTCCACACACCCCTCCACACGCCCCTCCACACACCCCTCCACATGCCCCTCCACACGCCCCTCCACATGCCCCTTCGCCGCTGCCTCCACTCTTCTGAAACACCTCCTCAAGTCTCCTTCTCTCCTGCTCCACCTGCTCCTGCTCCGTAATTCGCTCCCGAGAACTCTGCATGTCGGCTGCAGTCGCTACATCTGCTGCAGCAGCTACAGTCGCTACATCAACTGCAGAATCTGCCACTAGTCGCTCCAAAGCCCGTCTCTCCTCTTCTAAAGTCCTTGCAGCATGTGCCATGCCACCACCTGTCCTATCACCAGGCGGCACCCCTCCCCCAACCACAGCCTTGAGAAACGCCACTGCCAGCCCTCCTGCTGCCACCCGCATCAGCTCCCTAGCCGGCCCGTTGTTGCACACTCTGCTAAACAGCGGTCCATAAATTGGGCCCAAATTGTCGTCATAAAAGTCAGCGTGGCCAAACTCGGGCACCGAAAAATGGTACGCCGGCCCGACCAGGTCTGAGAAAAAGACCTTATGCCCGAAATTTTCGGGCGCGCATGGGGTACCTCTATCAGTAGGAGATTTGCCCCCCCTAGGGATTGGCCCCAGGCCTGAGCCTATAACGAGTACAGGAGGGTTATTGAATGGCAAGGATATGGAATCCGGCTGGTGAGTGAGAGTAATGGGATTGGTGGCTTTAGTAGCCGTTCCGTCAACAGGGTCAAAGAGCAGCGCAGCTTTAATAGGCACTGGCAGGTCTGGCTCCTGAGATTCCTGATTCTTTCTCAAGGGCTGATCCTGCTCACCCTGCTGACCCTGCTGACCCTGCTGACCCTGCTGACCCTGCTGAGCCTGCTGCGCCTGCTGACCCTGCTGAGCCTGCTGACCCTGCTGACCCTGCTGACCCTGCTGACCCTGCTGACCCTGCTGAGCCTGCTGCGCCTGCTGAGCGCTTTTGAGGCGCCTCAAAAGCACTGGCAGGTCTGGCTCCTGAGATTCCTGATTCTTTCTCAAGGGCTGATCCTGCTGCGTTGGAGTCTCGTGTTTTGCTGGTGTTGCGATTTCTAGGGATCCCACCAAGCCTCTTAAAACACCGAACGCCACCTTCCCTCCCCTGCTGTGGCCTGCCAGCACAAGCCTCGACCAATCAGGTTGCGCCACCACTGCCTCGTCTCCTGCTGCCCGTTCAGCTGACCACTCGCCCGTTCCCTTTCCAGCTGCCCTTTCAGCTGCCCGGGCAGCTTCCAGTGCAGTGGGCCTTATTCGCATGTGAATGAGGGAGTCCAGATTGGCATGCAGCCAGTTGATAACTTTCACTGCATCCTTCATTTCTGGCAGTGTGTCGAATCCTGCTAATATGGAGTACATCTGCAGATGGGGGAAAAAGCGGGGAACGGGGAGGCGGAGTGGGGAGGGGAACGGGAAGGAAAGGGGGAGGTGTGTGTGTGTGTGTGTGTGTGTGTGTGTGTGCGTGCGTGCGTGCGTGTGTGCGTGTGTGCGCGCGCGCGCGCGCGTGTGTGTGTGTGTGTGTGTGTGTGTGTGTGTGTGTGTGTGTGAGTGGGAGGAGAGGCTCATGGGGGGAGTAAGGAGAAGGTTTGAGATGCTTTGGCGACATTCTTGACGCACAAAGCACATGGGTATGGGTTAAGTTGATAAGGTTAGGAAAAAGGACCAATATGTAGAAAGCAGATCAACCAACATGTAGGCCACTTCCAGGGTAGGTGTTACCTGGGGATCCACGACAATGAAGCCATGGGAAGCTAACCTCGAAAGCAGGTTGGAGTAGAAGAAGTTTTGTCTGATGTGTACCAGGTGTTACCTGGGGAATCATATACCTGAGGCAGGCAGGTGTTACGTGAGGAAGGTGTTACCTGTGGCGCCACGACGATGTAGCCATGGGAGGCTATTCTCGAGAGCAGGTCGGAGTAGAAATGCTTCTCTCTGAGGTGAGGCAGGTGTTACCTGGGAAGCAGGTGTAACCTGGGTAAGGTGTTACCTGTGGCGCCACGACAATGTAGCCATGGGAGGCTATTCTCGAGAGCAGGTCGGAGTAGAAATAGTTCTGAGACGCAAATCCGTGCTGAAACACCACCACCGGCACCTGCCAGGTGCCCCTCTGTTGCCGCCAGGTGTTTCCCTGCTCCTGATCAGGTGAATCGCCAGGAGTTGCTTCAGGTGCAGCTTCAGCAGCAGCAGGAGAAGCAGGAGAAGGCTGGGCGGAATCAGGAGAGTCATTGCTGCAGGGGAGGTCTAGGAGTGGGACCCACAGACGCATGGGCTTAGGTAAAGGCTCCTGATAGGGGAAGGCAGGGGGCAGGACGGGAGACAGGAGAAGCAGGAGACGGCTGGGCGGAATGAGGAAATTCGCTGAAGGGGAGATCTAGGATTGGGAATCTCCTTGTGTCTGATGAGATTGGGATGGGATGAGACAAATGCAGGAAGGAGGGTTTAGAGAGTATGCAGAGCTGCTGGGGACGCGGCAGCTTTTGAGTATGCATTCCCTTGGGCTCCCTGCCGCGTCCCCAGCTTTTGAGTCGACTCAAAAAGAGAGCATGCAGAGCTGGGTACGCGGCAGGGGGTCCCAAGGGAATGCACGCGGCGTGCTGTGTGCTGCAGGCTGAAACGTTAAGGGTGCCCTGAGGCGCAACCTAACGCACTAAGTCGAGCCGACTTTTGAGTCGACTCAAAAGTCACCTCTGAAACGTTAAGGGTGCCCTGAGGCGCAACCTAACGCACTAAGTCGAGCCTAGAGCCTTCTAAGACGAGCGCCGAATCCACACCTAAACGGGATGGCTAGGAACCATGGCCAAGCGAAGGGAGGGAGCAGTTTCGAGGTCAGACATTCCCCTCTACCACTCAAAGAGGGAGTCGATTATCGAGGCACCTCAAGTCAACTCAAAACAACCAAAGCAATTGGTTGATACGAGTTTAAGTGAGGGTTTACACGTCAGTACCTGCGCGAAGGGGCAGTCCCGAGGTCGCACGTTCTGCTCAACCACTCGAAACGGCCCGCGACTGAAAACCTTCCCCGGCGTGCCATCCGCCGTCGGGTTGGCGGAGAGCGTCGAGGCGGCGGCGTTTTTTTTACGGGCGAAGGCGAAGGCGCACGTGACGACCCCGACGCCCAGAGCTGCCGCCCAGAACGTGATGCCGAGCCGAGGCGTGGATGGCATGATGATGTACGCAACGGCTTCCTTATGCAACGAACTCGCTTCAGAACTAGGGTTGCAACGAACCTTATGCGCAATGTATCGAAGAAAATAAGTAAAGAGGCGTGAAAAGAAACGGGGATTGCACACGAGGAGTGGAGGAGACAGGAAGGGCGAAATGAGATTCTAGGACAAGCACATCAGGGGGATAAGGGATTGACAGTGCTCTGGGTGAAGTGCCGTGTGGGAATGGGCTGGTGAAACCGTGACCGCCTGTGCGCCATTGCTGCATTGCTGTATTGCAGTTGCGATTTTGCAAGGAAGGGCGAGTCAAAAGTACATCTTCCGAAAATACCCTACTCAACCCATCTATGACTTTATTTGAACGTTTTAGAACAAAAATTAACGTTTTCAACCGCAATCGGACGTACTTCAGTAACACACCCGCACGGGGATACTCTCAACTGATCGGGAAGCCGCATTCACGAATGCGCCCCTCCGTCGCCCTGTACAGTAAATTCGCTGGCGCGGCTGGCGAATCCCTAATAAGAAGGGGCTTGATACATGGATGGAAAAGCTATCTAGAAATAAAAACACTAAATTGAATGTCCAAACGGTGTATAATATTCATCGGCTACGAACAGGTGCAGCAGCAACAGCAGGGCTTTGAATAGCATCAGCTGCAATGTCAGCGGCATGACCAGCAGCACCAGCAGCACCGGTTGTTGCAATTGCGGCTCCAACTACGCCAGGTATCTCTTCTGGTGTTTCCTGCCACTGCCCCACCTTCCACCCCACCTCGGACAGCAGCACAGGAGAATGCTCAGGGTGCTGCAACAGATCACAGAGGTCCCTGGAGTCGATCCCATCCCTAGAACCAATCCAACACACGGACCCATTGGAGCGCAGCAGACCTCCCCTGTCCCCTAAACCAGAGTCACTGCCTCTGCTCGCCCCTCCACATGCCCCCCCTCTGCTGCCTCCACTCCTCTGAAACACCTCCTCAAGCCTTCTTCTCTCCTGCTCCACCTGCTTGTGCTCCAGCTCCTTCTGCTCCAGCGCCTTCTGCTCCATGCTTCGCTGCGTGCTCTGCTTCCGAAATCTCCGCGTGTCTGGAACAGCCACTGCAACTCCTGCAGCATCTGCAGGTGATTTTAGAGTATTTTGGAGTCGACTTGAAAGCCTCTGCATGTCAGGAGAAGCCACTGCGACCCCTGCAGCAGCTGCCACCAGCTGCTCCAAAGCCCGCCTCTCCTCTAAACTCCTTGCTGCATCTCCCCCACCACCCTCTGCAAAACCACCCCCCGTCACACCACCCCCCGTCACACCACCCCCGGTCACACCACCCCCGGTCACACCTCCCTTGGTCACACCTCCCCCGGTCACACCTCCCCCGGTCACACCACTTCTCACCCCACCAGCTGGCACCCCTCCCCCAGCCACAGCCTTGAGAAACGCCACTGCCAGTCCCCCTGCCACCACCCGCATCGGCTCCCTAGCCGGCCCACTATTGCACATCCTGCTAAACACCGGCCCATAAATCGCCCCCAGATTATCATCATAAAAGTCAGTATGGCCGAATTCGGGCACCGAAAAATGGTACGCCGGGCCGACCAGGTCCGAGAAAAAAACTTTATGCCCGAAATTCTCGGGCGCGCATGGGTTGCCTTTATCAGTAGCGGATTTGCCGCCCCTGGGAATGGGGCCCAGGCCTGACCCTATAACGAGTACAGGAGGAGGGTTGTTGAATGGCAGGGAGATGGAATCAGGCTGGTGAGTGAGTGTGGGAGGATAGGTGGCTTTAAACGCCAAAGCATCCACGGGATCAAAGAGCACTGAGGCTTGAATTGGTACTGGTAACACAGGTAGACCTAGCTCCTGAGATCTCTGATTCCGTCTTAGCAGCTGATCCTGTCTTAGCAGCTGATCCTGTCTTAGCAGCTGATCCTGTCTTAGCAGCTGATCCTGTCTTAGCAGCTGATCCTGTCTTAGCAGCTGATCCTGTCTTAGCAGCTGATCCTGTCTTAGTGGCTGATCCTGCTGCTGCGATGGTGTCTCGGGTCTTGCTGCTCCTGGCAACGCCAATAAGGGTTTTGCTGTTGCTAGAGACCCCACCAAGTGTCTTACTGGTGCTGGGATCTCTAGGGATGCGACCTGCTCAGAAGCTTGGTGGGATCCCACCAGGCCTCTCAGAAGACCGAACGCCACCTTCCCTCCCCTGCTGTGGCCTGCCAGCACAAGCCTCGACCAATCAGGTTGCGCCACCACTGCCTCGTCTCGTGCTGCCCTCTCACGTGACCACTCACCCGCCCCTTTTTCAGCTGCCCGTTCTGCTGCCCGTCTAGCTGTTGGTGAAACAGGCTTGATTCGCGTATGAATGAGAGCGTTCAGATTGCTATGAAGCCAGCTGATGACTTTCACTGCATCTTGCATTTCTGGCGTGGTGTCGAAGCCTGCTACTAACGAGTACATCTGCAGGGGAGGGGTCGGGAGTCGGGAAGGGGTTGGAAGGGGGAGAGGTGGGCAGCTGTGGTGTTTGAGAGATACCTTGGATTCTAATGCAGACGTGTTTCGGGGACTTGGGCAGAGTTCAAAGTACTTTGAAGGGTACCGAGTAGCTACCTCAAGAGTCTAGTTTTGAGGCGCCTCAAGACGGGGGCATGGGCAGAGCTCAAAGGGCTTTGAGGGGGTACCGAGTAGCTAGCAGCCTAGCACAAGCGAATGCAATTGAAACAGAGCTAATGTACTACAGCCTACTGTCTGGTGTTACCTGGGGAAGATGTTACCTGAAGAAGGTGTTACTTGAGGAAGGTGTCACCTGCAGAAGGTGGTGTTAACCGAGGACGGTGTTACCTGAGGAAGGGCTCACCTGAGCAGGGTGTTACCTGGGGAAGGTGTTGCCTGAGGAAGGTGTTACCTGTGGCGCCACGACAATGTAGCCATGGGAAGCTATTCGTGAGAGAAGGTCGGAGTAGAAATAGTTCTGAGACGCAAACCCGTGCTGAAATACCACCACCGGCACCTGCCAGGTGCTGCTCTGTTGCTGCCCGGTGTTTTTCTGCTCCTCCTGACCAGGTGAAACAGCCGCCTTAGCATCAGCAGAGGAAGCCTGGACCGGGTCAGAAGATTCGCCCCTGGAGAGATCTAGGAGTGGGACCCACACGCGGACAGGCTTAGGTGGCATCTCCTGATTGGAGGGGAATGGGAAGGAGTCACAGGGCAAGATAGTGTGTGAAAGCAAGAACGGTGGGAACTGGGGAAGGGAGTGCAGGCAGGAGACGGTACTTGCAGGAGACTTTTGATTCGACATTTTTTTTTTCGTGTTTTGGAGTGGAGTTGGCTTTTGAGAAATTTCAAAAACCAATCCAAGTGAAATGGGGAAAGGGAGGGAAGGGGATGAAGGGAGGGGAGAGGATGAAGGGAGGGGAGAGGATGAAGGGAGGGGAGAGGATGAAGGGAGGGGAGAGGATGAAGGGAGGGGAGAGGATGAAGGGAGAGGAGAGGATGAAGGGAGGGGAGGGGATGAAGGGAGGGGAGAGGATGAAGGGAGGGGAGAGGATGAAGGGAGGGGAGAGGATGAAGGGAGGGGAGAGGATGAAGGGAGGGGAGAGGATGAAGGGAGGGGAGAGGATGAAGGGAGGGGAGAGGATGAAGGGAGGGGAGAGGATGAAGGGAGGGGAGAGGATGAAACGGTGCAGGAGCGGGTGCAGAAGGTGGATTGCTTGCAGCGTGTCCCGATTCATGCATGCATGGAACCTACACCAAAGCAAGGCTTATAATAGTTCTGATAATGTCTTATAACGATGCAACAGCACGAACAAGTATATTCCATATCCGGGCGACGGGGCAATCCCAAGTATCCCAAACATTCAAAGGCCCCGTACTATGTATAAACATGTTTTGCGACATTGTATTTGCAATGTTGCTAACATGTTTGAACATAGTATACGGACCAAACATTTTTGGGATGAGGTTGCACGCTTTCGTAATAAATGCAGGTTAATGAGGCCTTATGTCACCCTAGGCTGTGATATGGTTAAAATGGTTTATTCGCGACAATACCTGGGCGAAGGAGCAGTCCCAAAGGTTTGCAATTTCTCCTCCACCAGTCAAAACTGAAGCCAAAATAAGAGTAAGAATAAAATTAGAAATAAGAGGTAACTTCACGACAATACCTGGGCGAAGGCGCATTCCCGAGGTCGCACATTTTCCTCAATCACACGGAACGGCCCGCGACTGAAAACCCTCCCAAGCGTGCCGTCCGCCGTCAGGTCGACGGACATCGAAGCCGCGGCGGCGTTTTTCTGACGGACAGAGGCGACGCTGCACGTGACGACTCCGACGCCGAGCGCTGCCGCCCAGAACATGCCGAGTCGAGGCGTGGACGGCATGATGACGTCACAGCCCGCCATTTCCTACACGTTAATAGTGCGAAGTTCCAATCTCGCTTGCTTGCTGCGTGTACTAAAAAACCGACGAACGCGGAACTGCGGGTGTGACAGCTGCATACGAAGAAGATTCAGCGGCGCAGAATACGGCGCTTCTCAGAAGCAACGCATGAAAAGAGACAAGGCGGATGAAAGTAGAATGGAGATTTGAATCGACAGACTCGACTTGGATGGAGACTCTACATTCCTTGGAATATCCATATGGAGGGAGACATGGCGGGCTACATTGGGCTCAGCTAGGGCCCAGCGGGATGTAATGGCTGGGGCCCAATTTTGTCTGAAATTGGCGAACCTCCAGACAAATTGCTCATTCAGCACATGAAACAAATCTTCGAATAGGGCGCAAACACCCAAAAACAACGAAATCGTTCGCGAGGGTGAACAGATCAATGGCGAAACTATTCGTAAGCACCAAAAACTGTCGTCGATTTCGTGATTTCCCCGTTGACTTTCGCCGTCCCCATACCATGTAACACCTATCGGGCATGTTGTGTGAAGTGAGCTGACGTGACGAAACGAGCCTTCGCCACTTCGAACCAAATGTAGCAACCCCCTCGGAACGTACGACGCATACTCGTCAGGAAGTCCTGCGATGGAGACACACGAGTACCATTTATAGCGCTCCTTATATGATTTTAAACCTGTTCTTCTTTCGAGGGTTCCCATGATAGAAATAAATTACTCTTCGCAGGCGTTCCTCATTTGAAGTGCTCGACGCTCCACATTCCGCAGCTGGCGGCCAGTCAATCTCACCCATTCGCCTCGCCACGTCATCAGCAGGTCGAAAAGCCGAGCCCAAACCAGCTGGGATTTCCCAGGACGCGCCTCGATGCTCGAATGATAAATACAAACCGAATTTCGATGCTGCATGCGCAATGTGCGACTCGATTTCGAGAGGCGGCCTCACGGGGATCGCCAGCTTGGAATCGAGAATTCGAGAGGCGAGTGGTGAGGATTGAGGGACGCGGGAAAGGAAGGGAGGGGGGAGGGGGGGGAGGAAGAGTGGGGGAAACGCGGAGACGCTAGCCGCAAGAAGCAGAGACACCTCACCCGATCCCTTTTAACCGCGTTGAAAACCCCGCGTGTTCCTCGTGCACCCGGGCCCCTATTTGGGATGCAGAGGGATGAGGGGTGCGCACTGCTCGCCTGCGCACTGCTCGCCTGCGCACTGCTCCTTCCGCTCGTCAGCACGGCGATCAATTGCGCCGGGCTCCACTCTACGCCGGGCTCCGCTCGCCTCAGCAGGGGCAGCAGCAGCATCAGCGGCAGGCACCGCGGCACTACTGCCTCCCCAAGCTTTGAGACGGCTGAACAGGACGCGCATTGGTCCCTGTGTTGGTCCCTGTTCAACGCAGGACGCGCATTGGTTCCCGTAGACAGTCCACCACAGTCCTCTCTGAAGCTATAACTTTCGTCCATCGACTTTTGAGTCGACTCAACAGTCCACCGCAGTCCTCTCTGGAGCTATAACTTTCATCCGTCGTCGCAGTGGTTCCCATTTCCGCTCTGCTCTTGTGCTTCCTAGGCCGTTTACTCCCCTCTGTTTATGGCCAGCTTCGGGAATCTCTAGTAACTGGGTGGTAACCACCAATTGGCAGCTCCATAGACATATAGGCTTGTTACGCATCACTTTATTGCTGCTTTGAGGATCGGCCGTGACCGGTTCTGTGCGGTGTCGTGCGGTGACCTTCGGTAGGCGAGTGAGCAGCGTCAAATTGGAACCATGTTGCCTGGAGCAGCAGGCGGCGGAGGGGGAGCAGGAGGGAGAGGAGGGGGGGGAGGAGGGGGGAAGGATGGGGGCGGCAAGCGCAAGATGTTTGCTAAGAGCAAGCGCTCGTTCCACCACTGGGTCAGCCCGCTGCTGCGATTCCTGCAGGTGATCTCTTCACCACTAAGATCTCATGCCCGGTTCTCCTCGGTTCTGCTCGGTTTTGTGCGGTATACCACCACTGGTAGGAGAGTGGGCAGCGCAAGCCATGAGGCCAGGAGAGGTGGGGGGTTGAGGCGGCAAAGATAGAGGCAGCAAGCGCAAGCTGTTTGCTAGGAGCAAGTGCTCGTTCCACCGCTGGGTCAGCCCGCTGCTGCGATTCCTGCAGGTAAATCTCGTCCGCAACAATCTCTTGCCCGGTTGTGCCCGGTCCGGCCCAGTTTTGTCCGGTTTTGTCCGGTCCGGCCCAGTTTTGTCCGGTTTTGTCCGGTTTTGTTCGGTATTCAATTGGCGGCAGAATGGGCAGCGCAAGCCATGAAGGCTGGAGCAGGATGTGGGGGGGATGGGGCGGCAAGCGCAAGATGATTGCTAAAAGCAAGGGCAAGATGATTGCTAAAAGCAAGCGCTCGTTCCACCACTGCGTCAGCTCAGCCCCTTACTGCGGTTCCTGCCGGGGATTGCTTGACCGCCATTGCCTGGATTTGCCTGGGATACAACTGCTATGAGAGTGGGCAGCGCCTGCCATGAGGCCAGGGGGGGGAGGGGGCAAGGATGGCAGCGGCCAGTGCAAGATGATCGCTGAAAGCAAGCGCAAGATGATTGCTAAAAGCAAGCGCTCGTTCCACCTCTGCGTCAGCTCAGCCCCTTACTGCGGTTCCTGCTGGGAATTGCTTGACCACTGGTGGTCCATCGACCTGACACTGGCAGCACGCTCACTCACTGCCGATGCAGTGAGGCATGAATGAGGCCGTGTTCTGAGTCCACTTTTGAGGCGCCTCAAAAGTTGAGGTTGTGTTGTGAGTCCACTCAAAACACACGAGGCTGCTCATTGGGGCTTTTCCTCATTCCTCCTCTCCTCCTCTCAACCTTCCTTCCCAACCCTCCTCTCTACTCTCCTCTCAACCCCTACTCCCCCTTTTTCCGCATTCCCCACCTCCAATCAGCTTTCGGTGGCAGTATGTGCACGGCATAAGCTCTCCACCTTCCACGGAACCTCTCTTGTAACACAACCTCACACCTTACTGGGCTCTGCTGCTGCTGCTGCTCTTGCTGATTGGTACAACCCCACCTCAACCTTCCTTTCCCTTCCCTCACCCACCCTCCACACTCCAGCTGTTTCCAGCACTATGTGCACTGGCAGTGATGCTACTCGTCCTGCCACGCAACTTCCCTTGAAGGCCCTTTTCTCCTCTTCGACCCCTGTCCCCCACCCAACCCGTCCAGCTCTTTGCACCAGTGTGTGCGCGCTGGCAGTGATGCTGACGGCCAAGGTCGCCGGCATAAGCTACTCGTCCTTCCATGCCTTTCGGTACCTCATAGCTGCCAGCGTCATAGCCGCCTTCTGGGCACTGCTGCTGGCGTTGCTGCTGCTGCTGCTGATCGATACAACCCTGACCCAACCTCCCTTTTCCCCTTCCCCCCGCCGTCTCCCCTCCTCCTCCCTCTCGCCCCCTCCTCCTCAGCTCTTTGCAACAGTGTGCGCACTGGCAGTGATGCTGACAGCCAAGGTCGCCGGCATAAGCTACTCGTCCTTCCACGCCTTTCGGTACCTCATAGCAGCCAGCGTCATAGCCGGCTTCTGGGCGCTGCTGCTGCTGCTGATCGATCTCGGGCTGCTTGCTGCTGGGAGGACGTCCCACTCCGCCATCCTCAAGATTCTCAGGATCATCGGGGACTTCGTAAGTTGGTAACGCTGTTAAGAGGGTTGCCTTTAATGAGGATATGTGGTATATTATCAGAATTATTAGGATATCTGATGGGAGTTTCAGCATTTCTGGCTTCTGGGCTGTGCTGCTGCTGCTGATCGATCTCGGGCTGCTTGCTGCTGGAAAGACCTCCCACTCGGCCATCCTCAAGACTCTCAGGGTCGTTGGAGACTTGGTAAGTTAGTCGCAGGTGTCGTGTGTGGTGTGTGTTACTGAGGAAAACGGTGTAGCAGCCCTCTGGGCGTTGCTGCTGCTGCTGCTGCTGCTGCTGCTGCTGCTGCTGATCGATCTCGGCCTGCTTGCCGCTGGGAAGACCTCCCACTCGGCAATCCTCAAGATCTGACTGGCTTCCAGACTCTGCTACTGCTGCTGCTTATTGATCTTGGGCAGCTTGCTGCTGGGGTGACTTCCCACTTGGCCATTCTCAAAATTATCAGGATCATTGGAGACACTTTAAGATTATAACGAGGTTGTGAGGTGTTTTCGTTAACACTGTTAAATGATATATAAATATATACATAATCATTTTCTAAACTCTTCTCTCACACTCCCCCTCATCTCCTCAACCCTTACTCTCCTCAGCGCCTCCTTCCCCACTTGCAGCCGTCATTCATTTTCTCCAAGTTCTCTCATTTACTCCACCTTCCCCTACTTCCCCTTCATCTCGAGTCATCCCGTCATTCTCAACTTTTCCACCTTCCCCTATTTTCCCTTTCTCTTGCTCTACCCAGATTGCAGCTGCTCTGTTGCTTTCTGGAGCTGCAGCAGCAGCAGGGGTCACAACCTTCAAGGACCAGATCTCATTTCAGATTGCTGCTATCTATACCCCTATTTATCTCTTGTCCTTCTTTCTGCATTTTGCAGATCGCTGCTGCTCTGCTGCTTTCTGCAGGTGCAGCAGCAGCAGGGGTCACAACCTTCAATGACCAGGGTGGTTTCCCCTATCAGCAAACAATTTGCGAGGGAAATACCCCCTGGAATTTCTTTTGCGGGAGGTCCAAGGCGGCCACTGCCATGTCGCATATTGGCTTCTTTTTCTGCCTGCCATCCATAATCCTCGATATTGGGTCACTCGCTATAGAGTACTACGAGGCCATATGATATGGAAGACTGACAGTGTACACGGAGTGGGGAAAGTGGCTCTGTGTGAGCCCCTTGTGGATTGATGTACGAGGATATTTTCAATCTAATCACTGTAGTTCCAAGTGGCATATAATTGTGTCTGTCTGGCATACTGGAATAGATCCTGGCTTAACTCCGTGTGATACACTATGGCAGCAAATCCAAATGAAGACACCAAGTCCAGCATATGTCAGCCCCGCCCCGGGAGCATCTGATTTGTGAGAAGCTTCTCCAGTTCCAGGCAGTCCCCAATGCAAATATTGGGGTTGGGTTTGGGCCCTCATTCCAATACAGCAGCAGCACTATCTGGCTGAACCAGCACCAAGAAGGACCCTGTGTGCAAATCACATCACTCCACATCTTGACCACTCTTCCCCCCCTGGGGGAAAGAGTGGCAAATAACCCGCCTGAATGCCTGTTTTGAGCCGCCTCATCACGTCCCACATACCCTGACTACAGTGGAGTCATTTTTGAGAATTCTAAAAAATGACTCCACTGTAGCCTCATCACCTCCCACATACCCTGACACTGCCCTTTTGCTCTGATGCTGCCCTTTGCTCTCTAGTGGTCCTTGGGTGTGATATACAGCAGCGACGACCCCGCCTCAATATCCCCCTTCTCCCCACCGGCCCGGCCAGTCCCCGACCCTCCGGCCCCTCCCCCTCCACCTCCCCCCTCCCTCTCACCAACCGACCTCCGCCCAAACGACCCTGTAAACAGCTCTAGCGGCGCCCACGCCCCTCCTCCACTCCCAGACCTCCCATACTTCTCCTTCCCACTCCCGCTCCCCATCCCACTCCCCCCGCTCCCCATGGCATCCCCAGCAATCCCCGACCCCCCGCTCAGCGCCGCGTACCCGGCCCCTCCAGCCTTGGGCGTCCCGGCTTTCCCACTCCCAGCAGCAACCGCCCCATCGAGCGGGTCAAACAGATCCACAGCCAGCTCGATGCTCCCCTCCATAGTCCTCACCACCTCGAGCATCGACGGGCGGCTGTTCGGATCCTCCTTCACACAGTCCCTGGCGATCGTCGCCAGCTCGATCAGCTCCGACTGGTTAAAAAACCCCCCGAGAGCCGAATCCACCATGAGCGGCATCATCTGGGTATCTTCCAGGAAAGGGGCTGCCAGGCTGGTGATATGCACGTCTTTCATCGCCTTCTGACCCGTGATCAGCTCCAAGAGGACAACTCCGAACCCGTAGATGTCGAGCTTCCGCGCGTCGGTGCGGGTGACGACCGGCTGCAGGAGTTCGGACTCGGTTTCGCTGTTGCCGTCGGTGCTGCTGCTGCTGCTGCCGATGCCGCCAGTGAGGCTGGAATTGGAAGAGGCGTCGTCGCGCCCGGCGGCGCCGCGCTGGCGGCGGTTGGGGCGGCGGCGGGGCGGCTCGTCGAATGCTGCATGGGAAGTGGACCCGCGAGCAAGGCCAAAGTCAGAGAGCTGGAAGGAAGGGGAGGGGGAGGGGGGAGTGGGGTTGGGGGGAATGTGAGGGGATGTTGGACCCTTAGTTGTGGCCAGCGGTACCGCGCTGGCGGCAGCGGGGCGGCTCGTCGAATGCCGCGTGGGAAGTGGGCCCGTGAGCAAGGGGGGTGAAAGATGAGAAGGGAAGGAGCCTTAGCAGGACTCTTACCTGGGCGCTCATGTCAGCGGAGAGCAGGATGTTGGATGAAGTGACGGCACAGTGCGTAAGAGGAGGGTTGCTGACATGAGGGAGACATTTCGAGGCCCTTTTTTCGTGGCCCATCCTAGGGTAGGGCCCTCTGGCGCTCATAAGCCAGCCTTTTGAGTCGACTCAAAAGCCATCTCTCACCTTGGCGCTCATATCAGCGGAGAGCAGGATGTTGGACGAAGTGACAGCGCGGTGCACAAGGGGAGGGTCGCAGCCGTGGTGGAGAAACGCCAAGGCGGATGCCAGGTTGACGGCCACGTGCACCCGGGCATCCCAGGGGAGGGGGTCCACGTCAGAGCCTGGTGGACAGGAAGGATGGTGGGCGATTTGGAAGGAGAGAGGAGAGAGAAAGAGAGTTTGTATGGGCTGCCCCAGAGGCCAAGTTAACCGCCGCGAGCACTTGAGTTGAGCGTCCCAGTAGAGAGAGCCAACGTCAGAGCCTGGTGGGAGGGACGGTCAGTAGGAGAGAAATGGAAGGAGAGGAGTTAAGAGTGCGAGAGGCTTGGATGCCAGGTTGACTGCCGCGTGCTCTCGCGCGTCCCAGGGGAGGGGGTCCACGTCCAAGCCTGGTGGAAGGATGGAAAGAACGAGAGGAAGAAAAAGGGCACAGAAAAGAAACAGGCAGAGGGTCACAGGTGAGGTGGGTGGTGGAGGCATGCCAAGACAGATGCCAGGTTGAGCTTAGGTAAAGCTTGTTGAGCTGAAGCAGCACTTCCGATGAAGTCTGCCGAAGACCGAGCCATGCAGCATGCGCTATCATAATCAAAGCACTCATGGTGCAGCCTGTCGAAGAGAGACCCATGCGGCAGGTACTCGAACACCAGGATGCGCTCTGCCTTGCTGATGCCGTACCCCCTCACACTGCCACCAACGGCATCAGCTGCCCTCATACCAGCACTCACGGTGCAGCCTGCGTTCAACAAATCACTTACGGTGCAGCCGGTCGAAGAGAGACCCGTGCGGCAGGTACTCGAACACAAGGATGCGCTCCGCCTTGCCGATGCAGTACCCCCTCAGCGAGACCAGGTAGCGGTGGCGCGCCTTGGCAAGGAGTTGCACCTTCTCCCTGAACTGCGCCTCAGTCATTTCTGTTATCGGGAGGAGGGGGAGGAAGGGGGGGGGGAGGAGGAGGAGGGAGGTTGAGGAATGAACAAGGAATACCCCCGGAGGGACACCAGGTAGCGGCAGTGTGCGGTGCGCTACCTGCAGGAGAGTTTGGAGAGTTCTCAGTTTGGCTTGCTGCGATCGACCCTGCTCATTACAACAGTTCCGGAGGGACACAAGGTAGATTTTGTGTCGACTCAAAATACAGTTCCGGAGGGACACAAGGTAGATTTTGAGTCGACTCAAAATACAGTTCCGGAGGGACACGAGGTAGCGGTGGCGTGCGTTGGCCAGCAGTTGCACCTTCTCCCCGAACTGCGCCTCTGTCATGACTGAGCTGCACATGACAGAGCTGCTGCGCCTCTGTCATGTGCGTTTGCCAAACCACCATGGGCACACAACCCCTCTCCCCTTTCTGCCTCTCACTCTCGGGCTCGTGGGCGCGTTTAATCATCACCCGTGTGCCTTGATGTGGTCGGGCAAAAAGTCGTCGCCAAGGCTGCCCTTGCCAAATACTCTTTTCCGATGTCTCCCCACCCCACTCCACTCCACTCCACCCCACTCCACTCCACTTGTATTTTGAGTCTACTCAAAATACCACTCCACTCCACCCCTGCACTGCACTTGAGCTCGTGGGCACGCTTGATAATCACCCGTGTCTCAATCTGGTCCGGCAGGAAGTCAACTGCCAGATAGACAGTGCCGCCCATGCCAAACATCGTCGTGAAATCCCCCCTCCCCTTTCCTTGCTAGCACATGCATGCTCCACCCGTACACTCACTCTCGGGCTCGTGGGCACGTTTGATGATGGCACGAGTTTCAATCTGGTCCGGAAGGAAGTCGTCAGCCAGATACACGGTGCCAAAGCTGCCCTTGCCAAACACCGTGGTGAAGTTCTTGGTGGCGCGCTTGATCTTGGAGAGGCCATACTCTGTCACTGGGACTGGGGGCGGTGGGGGGGAGAGGGAGCAGGGAAGTAGGTGGGATGAGGAAGTTGACAGGATGGGAGGGAAGGTGCCCTTGCCAAACATGGTCGTGATATTCTTGGTGGCGCGCTTTACCTTGGAGAAGCCGTACTCTGTCACTGAGACTGGGGAAGGGAACAAGATTGGAAAACCGAGAGAAGGTTGCAAAAATCGCAATCAGACGAAGGGAGGGCTCGGACTTGGTTGGGAAAAGTCAACGAAAACTAGTGAGTTACCAGAGCAAGGCAACAGAGCAAGTCAAAAGAGCGAGGCAATGTCAGTGCGCTGGTCAAGGGCAGAGAAGTCGACAGGAGTGTAGCGGCGGCGCTTGGCAACCATAACGTGTTGGTCAATAGAGCAAGGCAGTAGGACGAGGCAATAAACACGATAACCAACGTAAGTCTTGATAACCACAGCACGTACAGTGGTCATCAAGAGAGCGAGGCGACTTACGTTGGTCGACACGCGGGGCGGAGAAGTCGACAGGAGAGTAGCGGCGGCGCTTGGCGACCATAGCGATTCCCGAGAAGAGGAGATAGATGAAGGCCACTGAGAGCAGGGCGATCAGCACGTAGCTCAGAATGGGCTTCCAGTCAACTGCGAGTTTAGGGAGTTTGGCAGAGGGAGGAGAGGGTGTGGTAAGGCAAGGGAGAATGTGGAGAAGAGGAGGTGGACGAGCTCCACTGAGGAGCATGTAGGATGTAGCTCAGAATGGGCGTCCATGCGTGAGGACTCTATTTTTGAGGCGCCTAAAAAAAAGACTCCTCTCTGAGGGCAGGGCGATGAGCACGAAGCTCAGAATGGGCTTCCAGTCGACTGCACGTGCGAGAGGGACAAAGAGGGTTTGGGAGAGGGGGAGAGAGAGGGTGTGCCTGTCTGTACCAACCTAGCATGCCCAGCTTGTACCCAGGGTTGCCCATCAACGACGGACCGTTCGAGAGAGGGTGTGGGTAGGTAGGAAAGAGAGAACACGGGGAAGAGGAGATAGACAAGCGCCACAGGGAGTATTGCGATGAGCACGTAGCTCAGAATGGGCTTCCAGTCAACTGCAGGTGGGAGGGGCGCGGAGAGCAGCGACGGGGCATGGAGAAGGGAGTGTGAGGGGGCTGCTTGCTTGGCGACCATGGCGAATGCGGAGAAGAGGAGGTAGAGGAACGCCACTGACAGCACGGCGATCAGCACGTAGCTGATAATGGGCTTCCAGTCAATTGCAGGTGGGACGAGTGTGGAGAGCAGAGAGGCTATGTGTCGGTCGGAGAGCCTGAGTGAGTGCAAACAGTCAGCACACATATGAACCCACCTGGTGGTCCTGCG